TAATGGGTCATTTTGTAATGGGTCATTTTGAGGGTCATATAGAGCTAGCATATTTTTTTTATGAAAAGTTATAGTATTTGTATTATTACTACTCATTAAATATATTGTAGAATCTTCAGTATCACTATTAATATCAATGTGTGCTGTTGTGCTTATGTGCCAATATCAGATCCTTTCTTTCTCTTCATTTTTGGTTGCTACATGGGTCATCTTCAGAAGATTTGGAGTCTTGGTGAAATTTTATTGTTAGTGGTTGCATATGTGCATTGAGTTTAGCATCATATCACTGCCTAGAATTATCTAGAATATATTCGATATAAGATTAATGGGATTAATTAATTTAACATTATTTACATTACTTCTTGTGATTGATGGTGGTGAAAATAACAGCTACTGTGCATCCAAAATCATATAATCAGCAATGGAAACAATTGTGATAGCCTTAAAATAAGAAAATGAAATTCACATCCATACGTCCAGAAATGAGTTATTCTCATGTCCATGCATCTAGAAATGATGTCCATTTTTTTATCATGTCAATGCATCTTGATGTCCATGATCAATGTGATGTCTAAACAATTTCGGATGTTCAACATCCGAAATTGACATATTTTCGGACGTTCAACATCCGAAAATGGTACTGTTAAAATCCAGGAAGCTCTTGGATTTTCACAATGAGTTTTCAGATGTTTAATATTTCAGATGTTGAACATTCGAAAACTCACTGTGAATATCCATAATTTTCACATCAGAAAGTATTTTGGATGTTCAGCATCCAAAAACTCATTGTGAAAATTCTGGATATTCACAGTGAGTTTTCCGATGTTCAACATCTAAAAACCCAATGTGAATATCCAGGAGCTTCCTAGATTTTGACAGTACCATTTTCGGATGTTGAACATCCGAAAATATGTCAATTTCGAATGTTCAACATCCGAAAACTCACTGTAAAAATTCTGGATATTCACAATGAGTTTTCGGATGTTCAACATCCGAAAATATTACTTTTTCGGATGTTGAACATCTGGAAACTCATTGTGAAAGTCCAGGAGCTTCCTGGATTTTGACAGTTCCATTTTCAGATATTGAACATCCGAAAATATGTAAATTTCGGATGTCGAACATCCGAAATTTTTTAGACATCACATTGTTCATGGACATCAAGATGCATTAACATGATAAAAAAATGAACATCATTTCTGGATGTATGGACATGAGAATAACTTATTTATGGATGTATGGATATGAATTTCATTTTCTTATTTTAAGGCTATCACAAAGATTTTCAATATTGAAATCATCTATCTCGACACAAAGATTGGCAAACGTATCCATTAGAAGATTTATGACAACAAAGAATTTTGATTGCATTGACACAATTTTGACAACAAAAACACAATATTCACTTAATTCATTAATTCATGAAAATCATAATTCCATACAAGAATACAATATTAACATCAAGTTCACTCTATCGGTTATCTGTATGTTCTCCTATTATGACCCTTTACGCTGCATCGTTTGCACTTCAAAGGCCTGATGATCAGATGTTCCGTCTCGGATATTCTTCATTGTTTTTTTGGCCTACCAGGAAGGCGTGTAGTCCTTAGTGGCAACACTGTCTTGTTGTAAATACCTGTCAACTCAATATCATCCGGGATAGGTGCAAAGGGAGTTTCAAATGCCCTTTTAAAGTATTCCATTGTAAAATACTTAAGGCAGTACACAGTGGGATCTATATGCATATGGTTAATGGCCGTAATAACATGAGCACACGGATTGCCACTGAGTTGCCATTTTCTACAACTGCATATCCACTGGATTAGATCGACAGTGTATGTCTTCCCAAAATAGTGGATCTCAAAAAGCGTGTCCATGACGGATATAGCTTTGTGCAAAAAAGTGAGCCTTCATCTTTCGCGTGTCAAGTAATTCTTAACATGCCGCTCCAAGTATTACCTAATTCCCTCTTCTCTTTAAACCTGGTCATCAATTGTATCCTTATTTCTTCACACATTGTAATGATCGACTTCTCTTGAGCAGATAAAATCCAAGCATTTGAAAGACTCGGTCATGTTTGAGGTAAGATGACTGTATCTAGAACCTAGAAAATAGGCATCTACCCAAATTTTGAGTTGAATATTCTTAATCCAATCATATGTTTCTGGGTCGGTATACTATATATCAAACATTATTTTTTCAAACCCACTAATGGTCACTTTACCAATAGCCTTCCAAAACAGCATCAGCAATACTCAGTATTTGCTGACCTCTTTATAAAGCCCTTGAAGTTCTCTCCTATATGTCGCATGCAAAATGATGAAAAACATGTTGAAAAGCATTCTTCTATTGCTTCTGGCAGGCTTTTATGTCGATCTGATATAATGGTTAAGGCAGGCAGATTAGAGTACCCATTTAAGAGCTCACTCAATATACTTAAAAACTAATACCAACTCTGGTAATTCTCATTCTCAACCACTGCAAATGCCAATGGGAAAAGCCCATTATTTGCATCTGCCACGATGACGCATAATAAAATGCATTGATACTTTCCTTTTAGGAATGTTCCATCAATACCAATTAGTGACTTGCATCCATTGACAAACCCCATAATGCATGGATGATATGCAATAAATAGTTGTTTGAACCCGCCTTCATCTGTGTGGATGCGAACTTCGGTTCCCTGGTTGGTTCCTCTAATCTTCTCAATATATAGGGGGATGTCATGGTATTGTTGTTCATGTGATCCATCTATCATCTCTCTAGCAACCTCTTTTTCCCGTCAAGTTTGCATATAGGAAAGCCTGACCTCGTAATCACATTGAACATCCTTTACAATGTCTTTTGTTTTAATTTTTGGTTGGTCAAGAAGGTGGCCTTTAATCTTTTTTGCCACCCAATCACCGCGTAGTAGTGGCTGATGAACCCTCCCCATTAGACCACCACATGTGTGCTCCTTAACCATAGACTTTACTTTAAAGTATGCGGTGCTGCCAACTCGTAAGCACCGCACTTGTCATGTGAATCCATCTGCCTTGCAACTTGCCCACACTCGTCCTAATTCACTTTTGTCAAACTTCAAAACAAAATTGCTGTGGATTGCAAAATCAACTAGATGATGCCGACATTCATTAATAATTTCAAAATATTGCCCGATATTCAATTAAACCTCATTACCAACTCCTCTACATGGACTCTCTAGTGGTTCAATGTCCTCCATATCCCGCTCTGGTACGAGCTCAGGGTTGGGCACCACTCCAATGTTTTGATCTTGCTTAGGTAAAATGTTACGCCGATTGTTGACAAAAGATATAGTGTAAGATGGAGCAACAATTTCTATACATATAAGATTAAAATAAAACAATTTACAGATGAAAAAACAAATTGTAGATATACATATTCCTTGAAGATGGGGCCTCAACAACAAATTCTTGTTGTGCCTCGGCAATATATACTACAACTCTCTAAGATTCCCCTCCCAACATAAAATATACATCTATATCATCAATAATATCAATCAAATCAAGCCCACTAAATAGACTTGTGTTGTGGTATATAATAGCTAATTTGTTTGGATCACATTTGGTTAAATTTGCAAAATGACTTTTTAATTCCTCCAAGGAACTATTTCCATTATACTTTGCGACTTTCAATTTTCCTCATTTATAAATAACACATCCGTCATTTGTATTCGTCTCAAATGATCCCCCATATCGAAATACCAGTTGCACTCCCTCAGTAGCCATCGTCAATAATATTGTATTAAATGAATAGCAAAGTTACTTTTACAAAAAATCAATACAAAAAAACTACCAAAAATTGGTATATTTCTAACTACTTTAGGGTTCATAAAATCTGAGTATTGCATAATGGATTGAAATAGTGTACTACTAAAATTGTCAGTAGCGATCGTTAATACTCATGTATTAAATGAATAGCAAAATTAGTGTCACAAAAAATTACCAAAAATTAGGATATTTCTAACTACTTTAGGGTTCATAAAATCCGAGTATTACATAATATATTGAAATAGTGTACTACTTTAGGGTTCATAAAATCCGAGTATCACATAAATACAAAATAAACAACAAATTTTATTACAAACAAACAAGTTTAACAATTATTTCGTCAAAACAAAGAATACAATGTATCAACATGATATAAACAACAAATAATTATATAAAAAACAATTTTATCAATATTAAATAAATTCCATTTATTAATCTCAAATACACAACAAATGTTATTAACAAAATTAAATATTCTAAATAATAACAGATAAATAAACTTTAATTAATCAATCGTATAAAGAAAAAGTAAGAACAATACCAATCACGTCCAAATAATGAGTCAATCTCTTCAACTTTGTGGGTTATTGTATTAAGGGACAATAAATGTGTTATGTTCTTTCAATTATAGGCTTTTCCGAACTTTATAAAAATAAAAATAAATCTATCTATTCAACTTTGTGGGTTACTGTATTAAGGGACAGCAAATGTGGTACGTTTTGTCAATGATTGCTTTTCCCCAATTTATAAAAATAAAAATATATAAGTTTCCGCCTGTGCGCGGGAAGTCTCAATGTACAAAATTTTGGATGTTCAACATCCGAAATTTGATTAGTGACTATTCTAGCTGCGGTTGTTTTTGGATGTTGAACATCCAAAATTTTCATAAATTCGGATGTTCAACTAGTACCCGAAAAAAAAGCAAAAAGGTGTTTTTTTAAAAAAAAACGT